ACCTACGTCCTGGGGACCTCGCTGTCACTGTCCAAGTTCGCTCGGCCCCAGCAGATGAACCTTAGGATTAAAGGGTGGGGTCAGTTCAGCACATACTGTGTCTCACCTAAAAAATCCACTGCACAGGTTCGAAGGCCTTACCCACATTTGCAAAGCCCTGTATCGACATCTTCTACAAATGCAGTCACACAAAGATCAAAAGACAAAGGCATATACACCTGCCTCCAAAGGTGCAGCCAAATTAACTCTAGCATGCTGGAACATCAGAACCATGCCCGATTCTGCAGATAGTGGACGTCCTGAGCGCCGGTCTGCCCTGACTGCCCATGAACTGTCACGTCTCAACATCGACATTGCTGCTCTCAGCAAAGTTCACCTTCACAAAGAAAGCAGCCTCAGAGAACATGGTGCCCGTTACACAAAGTTCTCTATCAACCGGCGCCTCAGGAAGTCTTCCATCATCCCCATATCACCATTGGCCAATCAGAGCTTAAATCAGTCCAGCAGTTTCATTATCCAGGTAGCCTCATCTCCTCGGATGGTAAGATTGATGGGGAGACAGACAACAGGTTAGCAAAGGCATATAGCGCTTTTGGAAAACTCCATAAAAGAGTTTGGCGAAATAAACACTTGAAGAAAAGCACCAAGATCAGTGTTTACAGAGCCATAGTGCTGTCTACTCTTTTGTATGGTTCCGAATTATGGGTCATCTACCGCCACCACCTGCGTCTCCTCGAACGCTTCCATCAACGCTGCCTCCATACAATCCTAAACATCCACTGGTCAGATTATGTGACCAATACATCTGTTCTAGAACAAGCAGCAGCCACAAGCATTGAGGCCGTGTTGCTGAGAACAAAGCTGTGCTGGGCAGGGCACATCTCAAGGATGAAGGACCAACCACCGCCTCCTAAGATCTTGCTTTATGGTGAACTTGCCACTGGCTGCCACATGAAAGGAGCCCCGAAGAGGAGATACAAGGACTCCCTGAAACAACATCTCAGCCTTGGCCATATTGATCAACAGAACTGGTCTACTCTGGCCTCCAATCGGGAGGCCTGGAGACACCATCTATAACGCAGCTGTCTCCTTTGAGAACGCACGCAGGATCACCCTTGAGGAGAAAAGACAACGCAGAAAGAATTGTGCCTTACAGAATTTACCACCTAAGGAGTCTTTCTGCTGTGCCTTTTGCGATCGGACATGCCTGTCTCGTACTGGTCTTTTTAGCCACCAGCATGCCTGTGACAAATGTGGGTAGAGACCTTCCCAAATCTTCATTCGTGAAGCCCAGCCATGATGGTGATGATGATGCATTAGTCTCTAATACAGTAGACATTAAACTCATCAACTGAGTTGCGTTTGTTCTTTATTTATAGGTTTTACACTGTAAACTACGTAGTCTGTTCTTGAAAGTGAAGTGTCAAAGCAGAACGCTGATATTTTCCACACTCATCACACACAATGTTTCTGTATTTCAGCATGCTCCGAGGGACAGCCCTCCCTGCCGGTAGCGCCGCCTCAGAGGCACAGGCTGGGCGTTCCCTCCCAGGCAGCTCCATTTTCCTTCCCATCCTCCGCCCCCATCCCGGGGCAGGAAGGTTGTGGAGCAAGCGCTGGGCTTGTGCCAGGGCCTGTGCTCAGGCCTCCACCCAGCAGAAACAGCATCGAAGAGAAAAGACAACGCAGAAAGAACCATATCCTCCCGATACCATCCAAGGAGCATCACGCTGAAAAAGATTGTGAATAGGGTTGGTGCGAGAACACAGCCTTGTTTCACACCATTAGTTATTAGAAAGGGCTCAGAAAGTGCATCACCATATCTGAGTTGGCCACGCTGATCCTCATGAAGTAAGATGATCATTTTAAGGAACTTGGGGGGACAATCTAAAGGCACTAAAATCTGCCACAGACCTGGTATTTGTTCTCAGACAACTGCAAGAGAAGTGTAGGGAACAGAACAAAGGTCTCTATGGAACCTTTGTTGATCTTACAAAGGCTTTCGATACTGTGAGCAGAAAAGGTCTGTGGCCTTGCAAAGGGGAAATTGTGACTTGAAAGGATTACCTAGTAGATCCCAGTCAGTGGTTGGTCTTCAGTGAGCAAGACAAACATAGTAACCCTATCCTGAGGTCCTGTTCTATTGTTACATTAGAAAGGCACCTCTGAGAGCTTGATGTGCAGTGAAGTAATTGCTTAACACCTAAAACACTTAAGAAATAGTTCTCTCTCTTCTCTTTGCACATCTACTTCCAGCTTGATAGTAAAGAACAGGTCTAAGACAAGGAAATCACAACTAGGCGTTTCAATGGCAGCCAGAAACCAGGATTCCTGGTCACAGAGTTACCAGGAGTAAAGTTCTCCAGTTTATACCAAGCCTTCTACAACTAAAACTGGGTGTAATAAAAGAGTGGTTGGGTGTGAATGAGCCAAACATCTACAACCCTGAAGAAATACAGAGAAGATGGGAACAATGCAGCAATGCAGGGCTGACAAAGGAGGTACAAGAGAATGTACAGCTGCCCCTCAGGCCTTTGGGATCATTTTGTTCTGAGAAGGTAGATCATATTATTTCCCTCTTCTGCTATGGAGAATTTAAACAATACTAACAAGGAGACTCAGCTCTCTCAAAATCCATAGAAGGATGCTTTTAGCTTCAAACACTTGCCATCAATAATAATAATGCTGTGTTTCTGACATGAGCAACACATGAATGTGTACATCAAAAACACCTTCTCTGATGCCTGCAGAGATAGCCAATCCACGTGCAATTAAATGTCCCGGAGTAAACTACAGTATCTCAAAATGACAGACACTGGCATGAGCAACTTAAAACTACCTCAGTGGTCGCTTTATGTACAGATGCATTTTAATTTGGTAATGAAGCTGTTTTGATGCCTGTTTCATTATATTTGGAATGATAATTTCTGGAATTTGAATCAGACAAATATCTCACACAAATTCCCCATTCAAGTTAAGCCTGTCTGGCCCTCTCAAAGTCCACAGAACACAGAAAGGTTTCCTGCTATAGGAAAGGAAAATCTACAGAGATGACTCCATTGAGCAATACTCAGTTATATTAAAAGAAAATGAGCATGTGCTACCATCTTTTAACTTTTCAAATACAGATAATATTTGAGTAGATTCTCATTGCTGTGTTTTGGGAAACATAACCTTTTGCTACTAGAGAAATGAAACCCCAAAAAGTAGAGTAAAGTGGTTTGAGGGGTTCTTTAGGTTTTTGTGTGTGTGTTGGACTTTGTTTATTGTTTTTGTTTGTTGTTTTGGTGGGGGTTTGTTTTTGTTTTGTTTTTTTTTAGAAAAAAGCTTGCCACATGCAGTACAGACTTTAAATCACTGTTACTTAATCTCAATACAAAATCAGAGTGTCACTCTTCCTTTTCCCCTGAAGCAGACATGTATGATATTTAACTGAAAAAAATGCTGATTCACACATGCTGGTGAAGGTCCCCAAGAAGCACAAACTAAGAGGGAATATTGTAGTCCTGTGCAAATAGACTACAAAAGGATACTAAGAGCCTGTACCCAGTTGTTCAAAATAGCAAAATATAAATTTAACAGTCACCTTTTCCTCTGGAAGTTATGCTTCAGTTGAGTAACAAAAATTACTGGGTTGAATTAAGTGAAATACTTTAAAAAAAGTCATATTCCAAGACTTCCATGAATTTAAGGGAAAATTTAAGCCTACACCCAAAGCACATGCCATTAATGCTTCAGTGTTTGAAAATATCTAGAGACCAATTGTGTCAGAGAATAAGCAGATCAAATGATAAAAGAGACAACAGGAGCTGAACTGCACTTCTAAAGCAAGTGTACTCCAGTTCAAGGCAAATCTCTGTATTACAGAGAGATACCAAAAATAACAGCAAAGGAATAACGATTTAGAAAACAGTCCTACAAAATATTTTTTTTTTAAGTCTTAGAAAAGAATCTTAAAACTAGTTTAAAAGATGCACTTCCTCTCAACCCAAAGTGGGGATATAATACCAATTTGAAATTTACTGTTTAGACCATCAGACCAAACGAGGTTAGAGTAGATGTGGGCCTCTGCTTCTAATGAACCTATGAATGTAAAAAAGGATCAGCTTTAGTGCTACTCATAAAGCTTTTCTTGCTACCATCAATATCACCATCATCCCAGCAATAAATTTGTGTCTTCAGACACATAAAGAAACAGTGTAAAAGGCAAACTGGTAGAAGTAATGCTAGTTAAAAAGGCAAGTAGGCCTGTGTCCCAGACCTACTTGAAAGGGTAGGTTCCATATCAGACCCTATCCTGTAAGACAGAAAGAAAGGAAGGAAGCAGTTCCCTTTAACCTGTACAGTTTATACCAAGGTCAAGGGGCTTCTTTTTCTCCTGCACAGAAAACCTTGAAAATCTTCCTCAGTTAGAAACTGAAGTGAGCTTAAGACCCTCCTCAGGCCCAAAGGGTTGAACTAAATAGTCTTTGAACATCCCTTCCAACCCAAACTATGTTGAATACAATATCTGTAATGCACTCTGCTCAGTCTAAGGTAGGTGAGGCAAATTCAAAGCACTACTAAAACTGGAACAATGCTCATTTCCTAACTCTGTAAATATTTCATCCTTGATCCTGGGCTTTTTACTTTCAATAACTGTAGCAATGCTGTACATCTCTACTCTAGTAAAGCACAAAAACCCAAAAGGAATAAAATCCCCAAATAATACAGTTCCTTATTCAGCCTAAAGCATAAGCAGCAGGAGCTTTCAAATCAGAGCCAGAAAAAATTAATCCAAGTTCATTTAGTTAAATGGGCACCAAATGAAGACTAACATCCCCAGACTGGAAGGTACTAATTCAAGGACTGTGGCTGTACATAATGCAGGCTGACAGTCCCAAACTCTGTCCTTTGGAGCTGAACCAGTACAGCAACAAACTGGATAATCTTCTCTTCTTGCACCAGAGAAGTTATGGCTCATAAATCACATTTATTATGTTTTACTAACAAGTACTTACTTCAGTGAAAGAGAATAGTCATGCTTGCTTGTTTGACTGTTTCTTACAAGGTAGCTACACTCTTTACATAAACGTAACAGGTTTTCTGCATCTGTCCGACTGATTGCTCCATGATACCATCTAGAAAAAAAGCAAAGAGATTATTAATACACACACAAATATTCCCACTCACAATGTTTTCAACTACCTGATTTCTTTAGGTATGAATAATCATTAATATCACATGGATATCAAATTACGGATAAAGATCATTATCTGAAAGTTAACATTACAACTTGTGGAGGCCTGTAGTTCCCGTCAGCTGAAAGAAAAAAGATCAGGATGCAGCATGCATCAAGACTGGTGTATGGTTTTATGTAAGAGATTCCCATTTAGAGTAATACATTACATAATCTGTCTTATAAGTAGCAGATCCATGATACAAACATTTGCTCTATTTCATCCCAGTGGCAGATCAGTTTTTAAACTAGTATACAAGATAACAAAAAGAAAACAAAAGCAAACAAACAAAAAATCACACATGGAGAATACAAACAGTTAACAGTCAAAAAGATTTTCTAAAATAAATCTTTGAGGAAGGAGAAAAGTCATAAAATGTGAAGATCTATAACAAGGACATGTTCTAAACAGAGCTGTGGCAGCTCAGAGTGCTTTATGCAAATCCCCTGTGGATCTGTGTAGCCAGTGCAATCAATTCAGGGAAAAAAGGGAAATCAGCAGAGGAGATGTGCATTAATCTTACCACCAGATGTGTATTAAATTGACCACTGCAAACAAAGAACCTCCTCAGCACATGATGCTCTATATCAGCTTTTAAAATGTCACATTCCCCTAGTAAGTGCTTCAACCCTTCCCTTAAGTTTCCCAGGCAATGTTATGTGTCTGGCCCTGTACTGGGTCAATCGCACCTCTGAGGAAGATCTCTGCCTTCCTGCAATTGCCAGATACACTTTGAAACACAGTGTGACACTACCATGTCTCTCAAGGTATACATCAGAAGTGCTTTCTGTCTGTTCTTACCAGGAACTGTTGCTGACTTTGTGTAAAAAAATTTCTTCCATTTGTTCTGCTGAATTAACTCTAAGGCAGATATTCCAGCTACAAGGTAAGTGAATAAAGACCAGATGGATCCCTTTGACAGAAGTCATGCTCTTAACTACCTTGTGCTGGTGTCAGCTTCATTGTCAAAGCTGATGAATGAGCTAAAAAAGAGTTGGGACTCAAATTAAAAATTCATTGGATGCTTGGTTACAACCAAAGTCTGCACCAGAGAGAACTAAAAGGAGGTTATACTATTGTATATTCACAACAAACTATTAAGGGAGGCCCTGAGCGCTTCACCACTTCATAAAAATAGAGACACAGATAGAAATGTTTTCAGGCAATGTTCTCCCTATTTCCCTTCAGATATTTACCGCTGAAAGGTATTTGTCAACAAGCAATTTAAAGACTAGATTGTCTTCTGAGTGCGAGGGAATAATATTAACACAAGTGTGAATCAGAAAGTGGATTTGGGAAAATTTAAAAGCTAGAAATATATTAGGGTCAAATAAAAATATTTTTTATATTTTTATATTTATATCCCCCTTGCCAAAATCAGGGAGATATCCCAGACTCTGACATTCAGAGGGAAGTATTTCTTATATTCTTCAGATCTGGTGTTCCCCAGCTGTCAGAGAGGTTCATGGAAGAAGAACACAAGGCTGGTTTGAGGAAGAAAAACCTGCTTTTAAGATCTGGAAGTAAAAGAGCAAAGTATGAAGACAACTGTTGATGAGAGAACATCTGACTCATATCTGTTCAGATGGGATGCATGGAAGCTGTTTTGGCTACAGCTGAGAGTAAACAGCAGTATCCAGTAATTGCTTCTGAGTCATATACCCATGTAAATGGGACACTCAGATTACTCCTGTTCCTGCCAGCTAGTGAGATAAGCATAGTGCTGTACTCAGCTTTAAGTTCCTGAGTAATTTGCTGTTTCAATTGTATTGGGTCTGTTTGCCCTGGGTGTGCTTTTTTTTGAATGTCAGCATATAGGTATTTGTGCAGAAAAGGTCTGCATCAAAGGTCAATGATGTGATCTTAAAAAAGTGAAATGACAGCTTGTGAGAGACATCAATGCAAACACACAGGACAACCTGCATGTCTCCTAAGATACCCTGAAAAACATAGGCACACAATGCAAATTAAAGCAGAATTCAAAAATAATCACACACTTTGACATTTATTCAAGACCTCCTCCCAAGACTGTAAGTACCCTGATTATGGTTTACATAACATTCTTCCTGATGTCCCTTACTTTGTCAATGATCAAGTTTCAGCCACTTAGGGGCCAAAGTTCCACTGAAGATAGGACAGTAGCATCAATTATACAAGTAAGTATAAACAGTTATTACAGCTCATATAATGTACAACGCTACTCTGCTTCTGAGTTGGTCAGAACAAAACAGGAAACCACCAGATCTTGATTATAAGGCTGGGAGGGATTCACTTTCAATAAGACAATGGAAACAGCAGAACACACTTTCTTCTTTGCACTGTTATTGAGGAAATAGAACAAATTAATTTGATTCCCCTGGGTCCATGAACTATGAACTAAGTTCATAGTTTCCAATTCCTTAATCACAAGTAACTAAAAATATTTTCTTGATATCCTAACACACCTTGGTATTTCTGCCTGTTTGGGGAATTTCCTAACCTAGCTATCCATTCATTAGCTTTTGTGCTTCCTTTCCTCTAGACTGTGTACTCCTTTCTACAGAAACAGACTCCGTTTTTGTAGAGAAAGATGGAAGGGTTTGGCAAGTGCTGTGGAGATGTCTCACAGCACTAAAACTTGAGCAACTTCAATTATTATGAATAATCTATGGTACAATAAATCTAAATTCTTCCACTTTCTGACACATTATAGTTAACTGTGCATTCATTTCAGGTTTGATCCTGCATTCTGAGGAATCAAAAATAACCTCTTGTCACTGACATTTGAATAATTAAAGGGAGAAAAACTAGCTCTGCAGTTTTTCAGTTGTTAATATCAATTGCAGTTATATGTAACTGCAACTATACTGAAAAAGAAAACTACGCAACAATGTATTTATGAGTCAAAAATTAGTTAACAGATACTCAGCCTCCTGCAGTATTATAAATGTATTTGGGGGGGCGAGTATGGTGAGCTGGAACTACCAGGTCTGAGGACCAAATTTACAGTCAAATTTATAGCCTTTTAATCATTTATTTATCCAACAGTATTTCACAATAACGGTTGCTACTTCCTCTGTTGGAGATAAGCACACAACCTGTCAATGAGCAGGTGGTTCAAAGGCTGAGGTTGATTAGATGGAACATGACACCATGCAGATGATATTACTCTCTGTTTCAAGCTTAAGCTTCCAAATATTGCCTGTAAAAATAGAACATCAAAGGAAAAGGAATTCTGGAACTACCTGCTCTCTGGAACTACCTGCTCTCAGACACAATGAGAGGATTCTCTCCTACTGAGGATTTGAAGTGCAAAAGGATTGTTAAACCTCTTAATACCACCAGCGTTCAGGAACAAAGTATTCTCACAAAGCACACATTCACATACATGCTAAATTCTGCCCTCCCTCCCCCGTAAAATAAATTCTGCATCTAAAGTAGAGTGATAGTTTCAGGAGTGGGCCTGCCTCCAGGGATTCAAGACACAGCTTCCTTCTTTGCTGCATGAATCCACAGGCTTTTCAGTGCCCACAGTCTAATCTGTGTAAATTGCCCCACATGAAGATTTTTCTTTGTGTAACAGGAGTTCTGGTCCCTTCTATGAGCCAGCACCCTTGGTATGACACAGGATGGTGGATCATTCCATCACACAAGCTACTCTGTCCAAATCATTCAAGGAAGGGTAACAATGAGGCAGCACGAGGGCCACTTTTGTGGATACCAGACATTCACTCCACAGAATTCTCTGAGAACTTGATTTTGGAGCTGATAAAACTGCCTCTGAACACCACTCTCAAGTTTGACACCACCAAAGCAGAAATAAGTATTTTTTCTGAAAGCTTTTTAAGTGGTCTTATCATTCTCTCCCTGAAAGAGTATCACAACCAGATGTAAGGCATGTCTGATATATTAGAAACATGTTACAAACCACAAAAATATGGAACTAAGGCAGCTTTAAAGCAGGCTTTGTACTATGTGACGACAATTTTTTTTCACAAATGCAATTTAACCAACATAGTTGAAAGTGAAATACCTGCATATACTTGATAGATAAAAATTCACTGTTCCCAACACGAGTTTCCCATTTAAGATTATTCTGTCCCCCACAAAAGCTACTTACACTTAGCAGGATTAATAAAGAGTAGTTTTTTTGTGAGCACAAGGGATACTGAGGAGGGCAGCTGGACAGCAGGATCTGGGCACTTTCTGCTCCTGTAAGTGGGGAGGCAAAGAGCTAGAGAGCAATTACTGTGCTTACTTACATCTGCTTTTCCAGTTGAATAGCTGGATCTATTCTCTCTCCCAGGATCCCACAAAATTCTGGACTGCCATGTTTGATGGGTTTAAAGCCTCCTCCAGGTGCTCTTAATTGCCTGTGCTGGTCATTTGAGGGAGAAGGAGATGCTTGCCGTTTCCCACTTCCATTAAATTGGGCTGCAAGATACACAACAGTTACCTCTCCAGGCAAGGTTAAGAAGGACCAAAAGAGTTGTAGCACTTAGAGAGGTTTCACACCCCACGGAGAACAAACATAACCCACTAGCATTATGATGTACTGCTTTATCTACAGAGTCATATGTATCGTGTAAAGGTGTTTCTTACTCCACAAAGTAGTCCTAAAACTCTCTTTTCCAGTAACAAAAGCCACACTCTTCTAAACCTTGTTATAATAACTAGTACTTATCTTAACATTTGTTACTTTCATCCCCCAGAGATGATGCTCTTAAATAATTAAAAGTAACAAGCTTTTAGTCACGTACCATAATTCCAGTAACAAACAAGCGATAACATCAAGAAATCCTCCTTTTAATGTAGGTATCATCCTAACAGTGATCTGGGTGCAAATCCAGGCAGCTAACACCCATCAGAAATACTGTCAAGCAGCAAAGAATTAACAGTGGCATTTATACAAGACTGGTACAAAGCTTTTGTCTTTAAACACTAGGAAACAAAGAGGTGAAAACAGAAAACAGGATTTGCTAGTTTCTCTCACTAACTATAGTATTCCAAGAAAACCAGTATGACTTACTTTACAAAGTTATAATTTATTAGAGCACTGCAACATCCCTAGCAAAGCACATAATAATGATGTCAGTGTCCTCATTCTACACTTACAGATTCCACATATCTGTAATTTAAACATAATTAAAGAAAAGAATGTTGACAGAAAGAGTGAAAGAAGCTACCCACACCATATTCCTGACTCTCACTGCCTTCTATGGTTTCCTGCTTCATCAAAAATTAACATTCCCTGCAGATGACTTTATTTCAAGGTCATCTACTGGGCACCAGGCAGAAAAGGCTTCACTGCATCAGGAAGTAAACATCACAATGTGCACCAGCACAAACAGCTCAAGCAGCTCCTCTGTGAACTTCAACAGCAACATGAGAAAAAATGTTGCAAGGTAAACAGAAGGGGCCCCCTATGAAGTTATAGGTATTATGCATTTAGAACTCAACTTACTAACACACAGCCAATTAGGCATGTGGCTGGTAGTACTTCGTGTTTTAAAGCAATCTATGCAGCAGGAAGACAGCTACAATGTTCAAGTTCAAAAAGCTAATGCGTAGAGACATGGGGGACGTGGAAAATGTTTTGGAGCTTCTTTATAACATATACATATATATATATATATATGCTATCTTCATGGGACTTACGACAATTCCAAATTTCTGCTCTATTCAGACAAAGTAGGCACAAATTTTTGCCAAAACTGGACAAATGTATTCAATCCCATTCTTAAGTATGCACGGTAGTAATATGCTGGTTCTTTCTTAAAATATAAACTCAGATTTAACCTCATTACTGGGTAATGAAAGTTAATTAGCATAAGAAGAAGAAACATTGCATGTGCATACTTGCCCACAACATGTATGAACAGTACCATTATTTCAACTTTAAGAAAAACAGCGTAATCAGGAGATTCTCTGAAAACCAGTGAACTTAATGTCAGCTTCTGACCAAGGAGCATCTTTCAGACACTAAAAAATTCAGTTCACAAAACAAACATGAAACCCAGTTCTGCTTGTAAACAGCAATATCTTTACATCATAGAATCATAGAATGGCCTGGACTGGATGTGACATCAAAGATTATCTAGTTCCAATCCCCGAAGGGAAGGAGGATGTCACCACAGGCAGTGATTCCACCCACTAGACCGGGTTGCTCAGAAACCCATCCAACCTGGCCTTGAACACTTCTGGGGATGAGGCATCCACAAGTTCTCTGGGCAATCTGTTCCAGTGCCTCACCACCCACCTCAGTAAAGAGTTTCTTCCTAACATCTAATCTAAATCTCTCCTCTTCTAGTTTGAAACCATTCCCTCTTGTTCTATATTTATCTGCGTGTGTAAAAAGTCATTAATATGATGGTTAAAGGTAGGATCTTTTCTCCAAAAACAGCAAAAAGTTAAATTTCAGATGTTTTTTAATATTTTGGGCTTTTTTCTGTCTGAAAAGCTCAGATATGTCTCTGGACTCCTGCCTTTCTTTTATTTTTTTTTCCTTTTTGGTGTTTTTGGTTGGTTGGTTTTGTTTGTTTGTTTGTTTTTGTGGTTGTTGTTGTTTTGGGGTGTTTTTTTGTTGGTTTGGTTTGGTTTTTTGGGGGAGGGGGTTGCTTGTTTGTTTGTTTGTTTTGTTGTTGTGAATTAATTTGTCAGGAAGAAGCAGCCTTGAAGGGATAACCAAGCAGATTAAACCAACAAGTGAGATACAATCTTGTTATCAGGTCTGAGTTTTGGCTGCTATAAATCCCCTCTTAAAACCTACTGTATACACAATGAAGGTTCAGAAGCCTAATTCCATGGAACTGGCAGTGTAGTTCTTCACTGCTACAGTAATTCTGTTTATCACAGCCATTTCAGTTACAGAATACCTGCACACCTGACACTTCCCTATTCTCTATGTGGCCTCTCTTCCACTGCCCTGTACCTGGTGCCATACCCCAGGGGTGGTGGCATGCCAGAACTCCCCTGTGCTTTAGCAGCCAGCAGAGGAGACCCAAGTCGGGCATCTACAGATTCCCCTTCAAGAAGTCCATGATCAGTGCCGGAAACTACTACCAAATGGCCCTCTTCATAGCATAGGCCCATATATTTTTTAAGGCAGATGGGCTTTACAGACTTCACAAGCATTTCGTTTACCCAGAGGTTTGCTATTCCCCTCCCGGCAGTCCAAGAAGTCAGGTTTCTCATAAACTCAAATGGAAGCCAGTGTCAGCCTGATATGCCTGAATGGGCTCTTCGGTGCCCATGTTATCTTCCATCTAGCCAACAGGGTCTCCCTGGTGTTAGTCATCTCCTTTTCTAGCCAGACTTGTGTACCTGAAAGCTACTTTGTTCCTATTACTTTGCCAACCTCAACTCTTCTGGGGAAACCAGTTTGCCCAGTTCAGCAGGAGTTCTATCAAGACCTGCCCTCTTCCCAGAAGAGCCAAACACACATCTAACCTCAGCTGTACAGCCTCCAGTAAAACAAAATTAAATCTGGTTTTGAAGGAACTCAAGCTGCAGTCAAAATGCCGCATTCCAGCTCTGCTACAGAGATGCATCTTTCAGCCCTTCAGAAGTCCCTGGGCTACACATAGCTTGCTTCATCTACAGTGTCAGCATGACATCAGCTCCATGCTTAGGAGTCAGGGCACAGATATACTCCCCTCAACCTGAGCAGATTTCATAGCCTGTGCACACTTACATTCTACTTTTCAACTACAGGTTGAAGATAAATTAGTTTTAGCTATCCTTCAGCAATAAATCCTGAAATCACGGCAGAGGAACAAATGTTTTCCTTAAAAGACTTGCATGAGTAATTAACTTCATGATAAGTTCGGTGTTGCTTGCCACTTTGGTTTGTTTCTGAGATCTATCACCTGACAAATCAAAAACATGTGCTGCACAAATCTGTCTGCACTTCACATCGCAAATATCTGTTGTTCCCTTCAGATGAACTTCTCAAAATAGAAAATATTTAGCAGAGGGTACCTTCAGGACCTCCACAACTCCAAGTAATTAGGGGATGGTAGTTGTGAGCCTGTAAAGTGGGACTTGCCACTATCAGAATTTATAATACCACTTAGACCAACATTGTGCTTTTCAGAGAAACCCACCTCAGCTAAGAACTAAAAAGAACCCCACCTGGTCTAGGTACATCACCTAGCTACATTATAGAACCACAGAATAAATCAGAAGAGCACTTCATACATCAGCAGTGGGTCAATACTTCTCCATTGCAAACTTTCCACTCTTTCAAGTTGGACCTCCTCTTTCCTTATTTTAGACATCTATAACTCCTAGGACTTAGATGTAGAGACACCAGATGAAACAGCAGCTTGAAACTATGGTTGCAGTCAATCCTTACACTCTCCTTTGTAACAAATAACCAGGTATCTAAGATAAACTAAGTTATAATGAATGGCAGATACGATCCAAGAAATATAATTAATCTCAAAAATTGTTTACTCTTCTTATTTTAAATAAAAATGCTACATGCTGAACCAATAAGGAATCCAACCATATTTTAGTCTATTACTTTTAGTCTCTTACTTTTGTAAAGTAGTATTTTGTTCTATGTGCTCTCATAAGAGTTAACTACATAATGCTTAGAAGAATATTTACACATAGACTGGTCATAAAATGTCATATTGGATTGACCTTGTACATGTACACAAACTGAAAAGCAAACATAAAGAAAAGAATTCATAAAATTAAGATTCTTTTTTTTAAAACAACTAAAAAAAACCCCCATTTAAGAATTTACCTGTTAAAGACCAAAAAAGTGGGCATGAAGGGGACTACAGAGCTTAAGACTTAAGCTGTGAATGAACTATAAATTATCCATTTCATATAATATGAACAACACATGAAGAATAATGTCTAAGATTTACATACACACACAAAAGACTCTTTAAGACAATAATTTTTAAAACGAATAATCCCATTTCTGTGGCTGCTGTATTACTAACTGAAAAATCTGTGAAGTGTGATCTTACTGGAGACAGACATGTACTGGTCCCACAGCTTGTATTAAGTGTTGTTAAGGCATGAAGTTGCTGGGTTTTGAAAGAAAAATTACTTCTATGTAGCACACAATCACTGTTCTTGTGTGGGAAGCTCAGAGCCACTCGCTCACCTGTCAGGATACGAGGCTGCATATATGATCTAGGCAAAGACAGTACTGCTGTCACCACAGGGACACATAAAAAGGCACAGAAATGTCTACTGAATGCTATAGCATGAACCCAAAGCACAGGGCTTCACACACACGCCAGACATCTGCAAGACAGCCATTATGGCACTGGAAACCTAGTGATACCCATCTCTGTTGATTAGCCTATCTTGATATACACCAGATATCCCAAATCACAGCCAGGATCTCACAGCCAGGAAGTCTCCCAACACAAGCCTTGCAAGCGTTTTAATCGGTCCAGCAAATGGGATGAGTCAGCTCAGGCAAGCCTAAACCAAAGCCTATTTCCACCAGGCAGACCTCAGGAGCAGAACTGCAAGCCACATGAGCAGGTTAGACTATTGTGTTGGAGTTCATGCTCTTTAGAGAAAGAGACTTCTTTACCTGTAAAGCATCCAGCAAAATTGGATGCTGCTTTAGATCCAGGTTCAAAAGATCTATTAGCATATGCTTAATGAGAAAGTCACTGAGCCTGTAGCTCCACAAGATTATTATCAGCTCACATGCCAGAGCAGACCATGTTGCTAGGAAGCACAAATCAGTTTTCTTTGACCTCTTCTGTTCCATAGTAGCCCAACAAGAGGAAAGGGGATGTTAAGCAAGAGATTTCTTTTTAAGTATTTTGTTCAGGTTCATCTGTGTGTCTCTTGTTCCCACTCACATTTCACAGGATGGATACTGCAGACATCAACTTGGCTTGGAAACAAACACAAATCAACCACAATCTAAAAATGTAAGAAGAAATGAGGAAGAGAGGTAGAATCACTCTCACAACAATAGGCCATTGCTCTACCCTGTTGTGCTAGAAGAGAAACATATTTCTGCCAACCACATCCACCTACCCATTAGGGAATCAGGTCAGAAACCTGATAGTACCAAGAAGGGTACTATCACAACAGGCTCTGCTTACAGAACACTAGCCCTGTACAGCTACAAAGGGAAGTCACTTCCCATTTCTGTAACACAGTAACATCTTGGCACATAGAATTGCAAAATCACAGATAATTCAGGTGGTAGAGAATGCTGTGCGATCAGATCAGGTTGTTTATCCAATCACTGCTTCACACAGTATGAAAACATCTGAAGATGGAGATTGCAAGAGTTCCTTGGACAACTGGTTCCAATGCTTAACTGTTCTTGCAGAGAAAATTATTTCCTGTATTGAGTCAGAACCTCTCCTGATTCATCCTATGTCTCATCTTCCCATCACACACCTGTGAAGAAACTGGTTCCATCTTCTTGAGGATCTTCTCTTATGTACTGGAAAGTTCCCATTATGTCTCACCCAAAGTTTTCTCTTCTTCAGGCAAAACAGGTCCAGTTCTCTCAGCATCTCCTCACATATGCTGTCATGTGCTACAGTTTCCTGTCATTTTGGTTGCTCTCTGTTGACATTTATCAACATCCTTCTAGTATCAGAATACTGGACACAGCATTACACACTGTCCAGGAAGTGTGAATTAAAGAGGAACAGTCACTTTTTGCTTGATCGACTGGCTTGCTCCTGTTCACACAAGCCAGGGTGCTTCTAGCCTTCACCACTGGTGAAGAGCACTGCTAGCCACATCTAGCCCACTTTCCCTCAGGACTTCTTAAGCACCTTGTAGCAAAGCTGTATTCCAGCAAATCAGCCAGTTCTATGTCCTTTTCACTGCAAGGGGTTAGTCTGTTCCAGATGCAAGTCTTTGGGTTCGTTCTGGTTGGATTTTGTAAGCTTGCTGCCAGCCTATTTCTGCAGCCTGATCAGGTCCCTCTGAATGGCAGCTTTGCACACTCACGCCCTCCCCCTCCCTTGGTTATTATCCCAAAGTTCATAAGGGGCATTTCCTCTTTCTGCTCTGGGTTACTGATAAGTGTGCTGAACAGGAAGGGTTCCAGAACATATCCTCTGAGGAATCACACTTGTAACAAGACTCCAGGAAGAGTATGAATCACCAAGCACTACCCTTTGAGGTCAGTGACTCTAATCAGTTTTCACAAATCTACTAGTCCTCCCAACTGGGCTACAATATTCCAAACACAGTTGATGCCATAGCACACCATGCTGAACGCTGAAGTCAACCTAGATGACACCTACTGCTAATAGATCTAGTAGTTTTAATACTGAAAGCAAACAGGTTTGTCAAGCAGAATTTACCCAGGGTAAATGCACACTAACTACTTAGTAATCATTGCTCTCAGGCTTCTTCCATGCTCCCTCACAGAGTCTGATCTCTTTTCTTCCCTCCTCATCCCCAACACTATCATCACACTGTCCCTTTAAGAATTGCTCCACAATTTGAGGACCTGGCAAGGCAACGTCCTTGTCATAGAGTCAAAAATGGGGATAGGGACAAGGAGTGAGAGAATAAAAAGTTTTTGTAACGTGAACCAAGTGTTAGGATGATTGAAAACAGGTCAGTTGAAGCACCAAACAAAGCGCAATGTTCCATACTTCTGCAGCAGGTAAAGATTTGAGACTACCCACGCCTGCCTTTCAGACATTTCTTCACACACACGCCAAAAAGAGCTTGCAAAAAGTACTTGATTTCTCCCAAAGGCAAGTGTATATGCTATAAGTGTGAGAGAGAATTTTGTGGTTGGGATCTAGGAAATCCTACCTGCCAAAGCTGGGATGGTGACTTTGTTCCACTCCCACGGCTGATCATACTCATCTGCAGGCCTGTCGTCATCCTGTGGCAATTTGCTTTCTCGTAAACGGTGACTCACCACACTTTCAGAATCAGATTCCACACCGCTGCCTTCTGGTTCATAGGGTGTGTCATAGAGCTGCATGTTCTTCTGATGGGACTTCATGCCTTCCTGCTGTTGAAACTCTGTTGGTAAGAAGGAAAATTGCATCAGAATCACTACTAACCACATCTTATCATTACAGTCTATAATTTTAGAGCATTCAACTTCCACCCATTTCTTAACAGCCACATAATTATAGAGATGACAAGCTTGTACAAGACTTCTAAATTCTACCTCTACATTGGTAGCTGGTTGGAAGCAAAAGTTTGCTCCAGCTAACAACCACAGCACAGTCTCATGCCTCCAACAACATTTCCCAGTTTGTCCAGAGCTAGACTGCAGGAAGCACACAAACCCTGTCAGCCTGTATAAAGCACATTTGGAAGCAACTGTACATAAGTTCCCAAGAACACTAAAATTTTTGTAAAGAGATTGTTCTGAAGTACAATTTGAAGCTAAAAAGATCATAAAAAAATAAATCTCACAGTATAATTATACATGCTGATAAAAAAATAATTGTCTGCATTTATGCCTACAGAGTATCAGCAAAAAATTAACTAGGACTAGAGTAAGGACACTAAGCAAAAGCATTGGTAACTACCACTTAGTTTACAGTAAGGGGATTTAACAGCAGCTGTCAGCTGCCGGAAAAGCAGTCAGAACCAAACCCTCCTAGGGCAGAGTCAGTAGATACAATAAGGAGAAACAGATATAAAATGTAGCTCAAGAGTTCCAAGTGGTATGTTGCAGGAACTTTCCTCCCCTGGTGTGTAGTGCAGCCCTGGTGCACCCACCAGGTGGGTGATGGGAGGGATCTCCATTCTTTGGAGTTTGCAGAGCCTGGGCTAGGCAAAGGCAGCCACAGTCACCACATCCCCTGATACAAAACTAGGTGGAGTGGGTGATAGGTCAGATGGCTGTGCTACCATTTCAAAGGGACCTGGAGACTCCGAAAAACTGCGGGCTAACAGGCTGGAAAGCCGCTCAGCAGAGAAGGGTGCTGGGGTCCTGCATGACAGCAGGTTGAACATGAGCCAGCAACGCACCCTCACGGATAAAGAGGGACAATGCTAACCTGGAACTAAGAATTTTGAAAGCAGATCAAGGGATGTGATTCTTCCCCTCTACTCAGCATTGGTGGGGCCACAACTGGACTGCTGGGTCCGTTTCTCATGTCCCCAGCACAAGAAAGACGTAGAAAGACTGCAGCAAATTTCAGCAAAAGGCCATGAAGGTTGATAATGGGACTGGAGCACTTTTCACACAGGGAGAGGCTGAGAGACCTGAGACTGGTTAGCCAGTAGAAAATAACTTTTAGTGGGGACATTATCAATGCATATAAATACCTAATGGAAGAGAGTGAAGATGGAAACAGACTTTTATTGGCAGTGCCCAGTGACAGGACAAGATGCAGTAAGCACAAGTCAAAATACATGCAATTCCATCTGAACACAAGAAAACATTTTTTAACTGTGATAATGGTCAAACACTGAAATAGGTTGCCTAGAGAAGCTGTGAGATCTCTACTTGTGGAAATAATCAATATATGACTGGACACAGTTGTGGGCAACCTACTCGAGCTGACTCTGCTTGAACAGGGGTTTTTGTTAGATGATATTAAGAGGTCCCTTTCAACCTCAGATGTTCTGTGATTATATTTACCACTGCAAGGACAAAGTAAGAATGTCAATAATTGTAGAAAATTGCAAAGTTGAAAAAAAAAAAAAAGACTCAGTCTGAGAACTTTTTAACCCACAACTGAAGCAAAGATTTAGAGCAGTTCTCTCCATTAGTGTAACGAAAGTCACTCATCAGTTAATCTATCAGCAGAACATTATAATCAAGTAATTTCTCCAAACCATTTCAAAGTACTGTGAAAGTCTGCAAAATGACAGTGCAATTCCCTGGGAAAAAATATTTAGTTTATACATTACAAATACAGTAAACGTGAAGAGATATACGCCAAAACTGATGATGCAAATACAAGCAAGATAGGTCCTGCTAATTCCTAGTTATGAACAGCCACATTACCCCCTTTCAATACAAGCAAAACCTACAAAATGCCATCTTTAAAGGGTAGCTTATTTGAAAAAAAGGCTTTAAAGCTTTTAAAAAACCACAGTCCTTGTATTTCAGCTCTTCTTTGAAAAGAATTTTGCTCAAGAAAAAATGCTGCTCTGAGAAAAAACTGTATTAGAAAGAATTCGCAGCTGATACTCTCTAGAATATTCCTGGATCAGAAAGATAAACATTTTATTTCTTCTAAAGTCAGGAATGTGGTATGTATCTGTTTGTCTTTCAGTACCATGAAGCCAGTAACTCGTACACAAAGAAATGTGCATTTCTGTAGAACAGAAGCCATGATCCTACCAAATCAATTATAGGTGCCAAACACAAACCTGTGAGCCAGGCTACTGGCTCCTTTTGTATGAGTATATTTGAATACAGGACTCCTTGATCAATATTTGTCTTTTACCCAGAGGATCAAAGCATCAGACTGCACAGAAAGTTTACTGGGAAACAGAAGGTGATTCATGTTCAGGGACCACAATTAGAAAAATTACAAATATTTGATCCTAAAGTAGAAAATTTTTTCTAGGAAAAAAACTAAAACCTACGGAAAGTGAAGTGGAAAAACAGCATATACACGTATATACAAAAATATATGTGTTTATACACATACACTTATACACACGTTTACATAGCATCTCTTTTATAAAGCTTCCTATAAATATGCTTGAAAGTTCATCTTGAAGAGTATGTGTATATAAAAGTAATTTTACTAAAAGTTAAATCAGAAGAAGTTCCTTTCCATAAGTTACAATACAGTTCAATCTGTACCAGAAGCAGTTTTAGAATTATACACACTGATATGTCAGTGTACACTTGATATTTAAGAACCACATAGTGGAAGACAACAGAACATTTGTGATGAAGCATTTCTCATGGTTTTCAAACAGTCTGTAATAATGACAGCTCTAAGGGCTACAATAGTCACTGGAATGACTAAATTAACAGAGTTTTGGATTTCTAATTTTTAAATATATTTTTCACTTTTATCAATTGTATAATTAGAATTCTTACTACTGATGAAGTATATTTTTATAGAATTACATGCATTAAGTTCATAGCTATTAGAAGAAGAAACAACTGAAGTTTTGAAAGCACTAATTTTGCTAGCAGGCTGGAAGACTCTCACAAAACATTCTTATTCTCACAGATTAGAAGTTATGACAGAATTAGGCTCCAGAAGTTTGGGCTCCTGTGTAAAATCAAAAACCTGACCAGTAAGGTACAGAAACTGAGAGAAGATTATGAGATACAAGACTCAACATTCCTCTTCCCATTCAGTGAACAACTCTGACACTCACATATAGAACAGAGCTCCAATGGATAAACAAGTAACCTCATGGTAACCTTTCCAGCAGCCACACTAAATGCCTTAATAGCCCTAAATAATGTAAGAGCATTAGTCATAGGTGCACCGTATTCCTGATGGGAGTGTGGAGAGAATTAGGGGATAGATCATCAAGAAAATAGAACAACTATGAAGCCAATAAAAGGAAACATTGAACACATTACTACTTGCTTACAAAATCCATTAGGTGAGCTTCTACAGCTTCCTTTCGGAAAGGATTTGACAGACAACAAAACAACCAGATTATTCTGTAATGGTCAGACACCAATAGATATTTCCTTCATTCATGCATGCAGTAACAAGAAGTCAGTGTAGCTGCACTCTTAAAAGAAAGTTCTGATAACATAAAATCCCATTTTCCCAAATCAAGTACATCTGTGTCACCAGGCAGTAGTAAACTCACTGCCATTTTACATCCCCTTTGCAGCATTTCTTTTGATGAAACACAAGACAAGCAAAACGCAGGAATCCTCCTGCCACAGTTGTGTAAGGAAATGTCAGATACAGAAAGATTCCCTGAAGTTAAGCACTTGCAAGAGCTTTTGTTTTCCTATCTGGTGAAAAACAATGAGCTAGATTCTGTTGGGTAGGTTGGGAATCAAAGCCAGGTTCCTGCACCACACGGTAGGAGCACACTGTGCTTGCCTACATCCAGTATGCAGAAAGAGTCTTAATCTGTAGGAGACAAAAGCACTAAGCTGTATTAATTCCCTGGGGTTTTTTCAACTTACTCTACTATTCTGTTGGGAAATACAGAATAACTTTTTTCTTTTAAACATTTTACATGCAACAAATCACAGCATCGGTGGTAACACAGACATAGGTGCTTCTTTATCACTCTGAAAGCAAACAGCACTTTATGGATGCCCCACTGAAAAAAAAAAAAAGAGATCTACAATGTAATTGGGTACAGTCACATTAACTTATAGATTAATCAAGAGCAGCACAATAAAGCTGTTTTGACTCACCATTATGTCAGATTTCAAAGTGTACTGACCCACACATGTCAGGTGAAAATGAGATAAGCCAAACCCATCTCCATCTCAGCTACAGCTTTCAAGACTGGTGCAGGATTTAAAATGACAGTCCTACCACCTCCTCAGGTGCTTTATCTTAGCTAACAGCCCTATCCTAGTGAGACAAATCTGATTATGAAGGTAACATGCTGGAAACAGTACCAAGAACTTTCAGAAATCTAGCACTGAAATTGTGCTTTAAGCAAAGTACAAGGGCTATCCACACCTTCTGTACCTGGTAAGTCTAAGAACAGTACTCAGGACAGATAACAGAATCCTACTGATGGGATTTTACAGAGTACACTTAGTTGCACCCATTTCCATTCAACTACATCACCTACTACAGAGTTTAAACTGGCCATAATGCTGAATAAAGCTTCACTCTATTTCCTAAAGCATTGGACAAAACAGTCGAAAACATTACTGACCTCAACAAGCAGCTATTGATAGAAACCCTTTAATGTAAATATAATGATTTTTAAAGGCCACTTTTGCATGCACTTAAGTTTTTTCAGATACACAGCTATTTGAAGGAAGCCCAGCAGATTTGTCATTCATTCATTCAACACACATTAGCATGTAAACACTATGCTGGAATAAGATTGTACAGTGCACAGTTGTCAAGCTGTCGGCTTTTAAGAATTTCTGT